CGAAATCAATTCACGGTGACAGCAAAAAGAGATGTTACAAAACAAATTAATTGTGTTTTGATACAATAACTATCACAACTATGTGGTCTGGCATGTCTAGTTTAGAAATGTAGATGTCCTCAGGAATACCGATAAAGTAAACTGGCATTTTTTATTTTATTATTCACAGCAATCCTCCATGCTGCTTAGCCAACCCGTCACAAATGTCAGAATAACACAGTATAAGTATCTTGATATGCACACTGTAAGCAGATTTATATCTATTGTAAGTGTTATTTAAATTAAGTATGATTCATAACTCTCCTTTTATTATTGGCATGTAATTAAGATTTTCATTTACGTAAAAGGTCACCAGATATAATAGCACAGATGCTGTATAAATAATAATATGATGCTGTGGTCTGCAAAGTATCGGAGTGTTTATTAACTGTGTGGAAATGTATGTATGAAAGTTATTGAATAATGGAATAATAAAGACGTTCTAATATATTGACTGACAGTGATAAATATCACATAATATAAATAGGCTGTGTCACATGCAGTGTTTGTATCTGTGTGGTATGATGTGAAGCCCCCCCAAATACTACTAAATAGGTGGATTCCTCCCTGTTGTTCAGACAGAAAGATGACAAAATCATTGACTCAAGGACACGGTCAGCAGCTCCACGGATAACAGACCACCTGCTGAGCCTATTTTAAGATTCCTCAGAGGAAACAGCTGGTGAACGACAAATATAGTTAAGTGACAGGTCTGTCGCGACGCACAGAGGGAATCAGCACCTCCTGCAGATGCTAAGAACCATCTACAACCTCTTATGCCCCAGCCTAGTCCAAAGTGGTTTCATACATGTCATGTCAGGGGTTTTTTAACTCCTGCACTTGGTGGTACAGAAGCATCAGTCAAGTGGAGGGTGCACGGCTTGACTCTCCCCGTCCCCTTTGTGCGATGTACAGGGGCTGGTGAGCAGGGGGTTGACAGGTGCCTAAGGCGATAGGGGGCGAATAGTAATGTGGATTTTTTGTGGGTGGGTTTGTGGGATAGTTATATAAACAAATAAGACACACAGCAGCTATTTACAGATATCGTCTCTCTCAAGTGTTTGCAATAGACACACTCAGTGGAATCCCAATATCCTCTACCAAAATGTTTGAGGAGAATTGAAGGCTCAAATCGAGTGTGTAGCTATACTGCCTCCCTGTGGACAGTGTGTGCAAAATAAATGTACTATTGTCACATTAGAATGCACAATGGTTTATGAATTATCATCCATGGCATCAAAAAGTGAGTAGAGATATTTAGATAGATCAATGCACGGCCCAAAAAGAAAAGGTGTTCTGAGTTTGTTCTGAGGGATGACATCAACAATTTGGAATGAATTCAAAATACAGACTGTGAGTTAAGCCAACATCAGTGCCTGACTTTAGCAATGTCCTTGTGGCAGGGAAGCAGAGATATTAATATGTTACTCAAGTACCAGTCACAGTTTACAAGTGTGACAATAGAAGTAAAAGTAGGTAATATAATTCAAATCAAATAATGAATATAGGGAATTAACCACATAAACATGTCAATCTTCAGAGCTTATGGCCAAATCAACAATATATGTATTTATAATAGAAGGCACAGCCTTTGCATACAACTGCTATCAATTGAACTAGATAAGAGGATAACAACTCAACTATCTTATGTAAAATACAACCAAAGAGTTTCGACACCATGGCAGGTGCAACCAGCATTATGAGACGTACATTTAATAAGATAACACTTCAGAATGAACAGAAGAAGAAAACATGCACAACCAAAGCAGACAACACATAAATGTTGTAGAGAATTATACAGGGGCTGCAGCCAAGACAGGGTTCCTGCAGGTTTCGCCAACTCAAATTTAAGACTTTTTAAGACCCCACGGGAACCCTGCATGAAGACACAAGCAAGAAAGAGTAGCAGTTTTAACACAGTATTCACAGCCATGCAGGGCTCATCTGGAGACAATCACCACAATGTGTGTGTTATTGTAGCTTACTCACTTGTCTGAAGTGCTTCCTCTTGTCCACCAGGCAGGACATCCTCCACCATCTCTTCAGGGTCAGCCCTCGTTCATTTCCAATCCATCACCAGTCCACTCAGTCTCTGAGCTGACAAAAGTTTTCAATCATTTAACAGTAGCCTTGAGCTGAATGACACTGTGTAGTCACAACTGCGACAGTTATAACAAGTCAAAGAGAGTATAAAAGCCTCACACACCTCAATGAAGGTAGAAGTTCCTCAGTTAATGCAGAAATCACCGCTGGAGGACTAAACACGTGCGCTTTAGCATTTAGCATGTTAGCCACATCCAGCATCCGACTGTTGGTCATCAGGGGAGTGTTTGATTTGGGTGACCGAGGTGGAGCATCAACCCAATATTATATAAATATTTGTTCCTTTGTCGAGGAACAAAACTTTGACCTGAAAACATAAGGACTTTCCTAATTATCATATTGTTGTTTTCAAATGTTAACAAACTCCTTGGCAAGGATGCAACTGTACTCCCCACCCCCCCTGACCTATGTCCCCCCCCCATACCCGGCCATTAAAGCCAGCAGTGTCACCTGAGAGTGGAGCTCTGCCTCCTGTGGCTGCACACACACCCTGCAGCTTCAGAAAGAGGAGAACAGCAAGCTCTGAAACTGCTTACTACCTCATTTATTTTCCTTTCACACACAGTTTAGCATGACAGTTTCATGTTACATCTGTTTTTTTGGCATGCAACAAAATTTAGCAAAGTACTTGAGATAAAAAAAAGATCTAATGAAACCTGATTCTGACTCTAACAAGGCTTTATTTTTACAGTAACGAGAGGATTGTGTTACTTGCAAAGTAGCTGAATGGGAGCAAAGATCTTCTGCCAGGTCACAAAACCTTAAGGCTTAGCCCAGGTGGAGGATTTTGTAGCATCTTATAATAAAGTTTAGAATTAGATGGGTTATGTTTATATTTGCCTTAGTATAAATCCAACCCGCAATATTTAACACTGGTTAGCTGAGTATATCATGCAAAAAGTCTCCATGAGGGTTAGGCCCTGCCACAAATTAGGAACACCACAGCTCAGCTTGGAGAGGTTATATGCTTCTTTATGGTGCAGCATTAAAGCTTAGGCTAAGTGGATGCATGTCAGCCCATTATGATTCACATAATGTACTTTGTGTGCATATGAGGGGGAAAGCATATAGGTTACAGTAGCCTATGTGAGGCTTGGCTATGATTCCTTGAACATCATATGCTAATAAACAAACATCACAGTTTTCTTTGATAAGATGGGCAGTGAACCCAAGCTAACTCCCTGTAAGTCACTCTTAATAGCCGCATTAGAGCGACTTAATGGCAGCATTATTTAAAAAGTGGAAAGTGACAGGTTTGTTCTCCCAGTCCTCATATTAAGGGACCTGATTAATACATTTTTGTGAAACCTTCTACTAATATACTTGTATACCCACCAGGACCAGCTGCAACATTAACAAGCTGCTTACATGTTAATTAATTTATAATGAAACAATCTGAGTAGGAGTTTATTATTAATAACATATTTTACTTTAGTAGTTTTTTAATGGAGATTTACAAGCACCTTTTACTTAAGTAAACGTTCTGTATAATAGTTTTTACCTAATCCAAATGTTAAGTATGCCTTTAAAGAGAGTGCATGGCTTTAAATCAGCTGTATAAGGCCAGTCTATGTTTTTCTTGCATCTTCTTATCTCCTGCAACCTCTAGAGACTGGAGGCAGCATATTTATGTTGCATCTGCCAATTACAGGTGTCAGCTCAGGTTCCATCTGTCACTCATCAAATCAACACACCTCAGATGTCAGCCCCAAAAGGTGATCTGTAAAAAAAAAGAAAAAGAAAAAACGGCCAAGAAGGAATAAAAAATACTTGGCATAAATCAAAACTTAATGTCACTGCCAATATATGATTGATTTGATCAGTCTGCATCATTGTCTTATTCAATACTTTTTTTATTTAAAGGAAACTGGTGAAATAAGATTACAAGATAATGTATTCATTAGTAAGAATGTCATACAATTTTCATCTGCTTTTCATCTCCTTGGTGCAATAGTTGAAATATATATGCTTGTTTGAGCTATTAAATCATGTAGGAAAATTAAATTAAATTATCCATCAGAAGATGTTATTACATTATCAGACAGTTAATTACATTAACATATTTTATCACATTTTGTACTCATCTAGAGGGACTATAAAACTGACACGTAATTGCTTTATGTAACACACACACACACCCTTGCAATAAATGGACAAATAATCTCTTCGACCTGTACCAGGAGGGCATCTGAAAACATCTGAGGCCTGAAGGATTTACTGGACCTGCAGTGAGTTAATTTACTTGATCTTGTGTTACAGCTGAACTGAGAATAGAACCACCTTAAAAATAAATCCACCAGGCAAGGTTTACTGCTCTTCCAATAGCCACAGTATGTCACATTGTTTTTTACCAACCGCAACACAACTAAAAAGGCTGCTTGTGTTTTGTGTTGAGGATAACCCTTAACCTTAAGACCTTTTGAAACATCTCTGTGGATCTCTCTTCTAATTTCCCTTTAGGTGTCTATCGTGTGAAAATGGGCCTTGATTGATTGGTTCAATTACAGGGAGGCTTATTTGATAGGAGCAGGAGCTGTATTGCTATTCTTCTCAAGTAAGCGATCGATGGATGTCATAGATTACTTAAACCCCTTTAAATCCAACTGCAATTTGTAAAACCTAATAAAGGTCCAAAGGCAGAGACATAAATTACTGTAGCTACAACATAAATCCCTTTATATACCTTAAATAGGAGTTACAAAAAATGTGAACAAACCTAACACAAAATATCAGTGTAGCAAAGACATATACCTGTACTTTTCTAAATAGTTCCCCAAAACCACAACTTAAATTGTCATTACATTTATCAATCTGTTGAAAATAAAAAGAAAACTTGTTTTAACATAGCCCACTTTATTGTACATCACTCCTTTGTACATTTAGGTTGTAACATTTAAGGCTCATTTCAGTCCCTGCAAACAAATACTTTTTTGCTTATACCACCTACAACATTTTATCTGGAGTGGAAATAAACTATGAAAACTTCATGTAATCAGTAGAGCAACACAACACATAACTCAGGTCACATAAGTTCAATTTTAACTCAAGCATGTACAGAAGAGCATAACCAACAATATGTATCAAAATATTTAGTCCTGTTAAATATATTTCCTGCGCTTCAACATTGATTCAGCTCTTTACATATAAGCTGCCTGAAAGGAAACAGGACCATCTAGGAACTCTTTTCTGCAACATAAGGACATTTAAATAATTGGTCAAACTGAATAACAAATGCACAAAGATGTCAAAACATATTGTAAATTGACTGTCTGGAGTTACAGTGCCAGTGCTTTTTTTGTTTGCCTTTAATGTTAAGTTCTTAAAGAAAATAACTGACATGCACTAAGGAGGGATAATTGAAATAAATGATTTACAAATATGCAGTTGCTTTTGAAAATGAAATCTGGGCATCAAAACATCTTTTACTCATTTTAGCCCAACCACCACAAAAAACAATATGTTTTTTAGACAATAGTAAAACGTTTTATCTGCACATACTCTCACCGTGAACACAAGCTTTGGTAAAGTGACAAAGAAAAGGAAACAAATGAATCTTCACTTCAAATGGTTACAGAAAACAAACTGGCAACAGAAAGACATGGTTGAGGATTGTGTTCCTCAAGCAACAAACTTGTTCTTGGTGGAGGAGCCGCTCTTGGTGGCGGTGTCTGCATGTGACTGGTACCCGATGATCACTTTTGGAGGGACTCCTAATCTCTCTTTGTATACTTGTCTGAAAGAAATTATAAAAGAAAAAAAAGGCAGAAAGAAAAATATTGCATATTAGCAAATGTACACAGAAACATTTCTACAAAATAGATTTCCCTCACTAATGCCTTTATTACAGAGCCACTGTGGCTGCGAGGGAGTGCGTCTTTCAACCAGAAGGTTGTGGGTTCGATCCCAGCGCATGCAGTCAACATGTCGATGTATCCTTGGGCAAGATACTTAACCCTGAGTTGCGCCCAATGGCATGGCCAACGGTGTGTGAATGTTAGGTCCTAGAGTAAGGTACACTGCTCTGTATGAATGGGTGAATGACATGTAGTATGTAAAGCGCTTTGAGGGGTCTTAAAGACTGGATAAAGCGCTATATAAGTACAGTCCATTTACCATTACTATAATCTGCTGTAGCAAACTAGTGTGCTTAGGCTGTCCAAAAGATGCATTTTTTGCAACAAAGAGATTTTTTCCACAGGTCTGAAAACCTGAAACACAATACTGGGGGTTTTGGTCCAGCTGTCTAATAGGTGGAAATCTACCTCTGTACTGTTAAAAAAACTAATTTGAGGTTTTTATAGGTAGATATTTCCTTTACAATAAGAGAATGTATCTTTTTCGGCATCTATTTTTTTTTTTTTTAAATAGGTGTGGAATCTTTCAGTCACCCGATGTGTGTGATGGCATCTTTGTTCTCGTAGTCGGTGGTCCATACTGCTATTTTATCTCCTTTGGCGCGAACGTTTATGACGGCTCCACACACATCGTCACTGTGTTCATCAAAACCTTCACCCACAAGACACAAGAGCTGCAATAAAGAAAGGGAAAAAAAAGACATCATTTAAAAATACACCGATATTGAGAAGCAGTTCCTGTTCAATGGCAGTAAGTAGTTGATGTTTTTTTTTCAAAGCAGACATTTTGACTTGTCAGAGTAGGAAATGCACAGGTGTTACTAATACCATTAACAAGGGCTCCGTTCTACACCTAAAACCATAGAAACAAAGTGTAGTTCATCAGTCATTAATTCTATCGTTTACACCTGGACTTTTCCGGCTGAGATGCAACTAAATGTACTAACGAAGGCCTAAAGATAGAACTAATCAAAGGTATAGTCAGAGTAGACAGTGGACAGGACTGAACACACCGTCTCCAGCCAGAAGCGATCCAGGTCTGCTCTACGCTGCTGCTTGGACAGAGTTATCAGCCAGCGGCCGCCTTTTCGGTTGCGTCCATCCTCCCACATGGGCTCAATCCCATCCTGCAGCAACATAAAAGTTCAGAGCTTACTGCACTATATACATCCCAACATATATATTAAATTAACAAAAGGCAAGACAAAGGCAGAACATAGCTGTGATAAAAAAGGGTAGAAAATAGTCATCTATTAGAGTCTAACTTCGACAAAGCCCTTGACAAACTGACATTGTATCCCTTTATACAATCCCCTTGCATCAGCGTGACATCTATAAACAGAGGAAGCTAAGACAAAACACAGTTGGTAGATAAAAGCACTCTTACCTTAAACAGCGAGTAGTCACAGCCAGAGACCAAGTTACTGGAAAGCTGAATGTGATTGTATAGTCTAGGAAAGAAGGAGGATATTTTATACTGAGCTGCATTTAAAAAGAAAACCTTTTTGGCAGGCTTGCTAAAAACATGGTTCAGAAAACTTCTCGCTTTGCAAACAACTGACAAGTGATCAATCAAATGTATCTCGTTTCAAAGAACATTAACTGGCACAGATGTTAAGGCTTCAACAAAACAAAAAAACGAACTTTTAGAAGACCCAGTTTCCAAAATGTTACACTGCTTTTTGGTGGAGTGATACAGGTCATTACATTTAGATGATTAAAGTTGTCTCCTATATTAGTAAACTTTGCTTTCTATATATTTTACTAAGGTCACATATCACAAAGATAAACTTACGCCCAGAAGTCTTCCACCGTGTCAAATTTTGAGATGAGACGAAGGTTGGCCTGCCATGTTTTGCTTTTGTCGTTCTTGAAAAACCAAAGAGCCCACCTGCAAATTAAAGAAGATTTACTACATACAAATCACATGTTTTTCCCTCAAGTGATATTTCTCATTCACAATTAGTTTCACAAGAGATTCACACATTTCCTATAATACTATTGAATCTCATGTTGAGTAATACCTGCTTGACTGTTGTGAAAAAGGACTTAAAGTGAATAGATCTTTGGTCTTACTTGTTTTGTAGTGGATGCTTGATGTATGATTCAGGACTCATAACCTTTTGAATGATCGTTTCACATTTTTCCTTTCCATGATTAGCAGGGGCTGAAGCTGTCAACTAGGAACAAAAAAGTACAAAAGATTTAAAAAAAAGAAACATCAGAAGTGACGAAAAATGTAGTGGATTCTTCAAACAGTCAAGTAAGACAACAAGAAAGGACAGTTAGTGTGGGAAGATAACATTTATTTGAGTATTTTTCCTTACAGATAGTCTCCGTTGTACTTTTATTCCTGCAATGCTTCTCTGTATTCTCATTTGTCATTTCAGACCAAATTAATTCCCTCTTTAGTTAAAATACCGTATGGATTGTTGTTTTTAACCCTTGTTCGGGAGATTTATGTAGAAAAAAAATACTTTGACCAGATTGCTTTTGTTTTGAGGTTTTTTTGTACCTTGTCCTTTGTAAAAATTACAATCGTTTTTGTACATATTTTTCTTTTTATAGCTTCTCTCAGTTTTACCTTTATACATCCAATGCTTCTGTGTATTCTCATTTGGTAATTCAGAATGTATTAAATATGTAATATCTTTAGATAAAAGTTTTATTTGAATTGTTGTTTTTATGATCATTTTAAAATATTTAACCAGACTGCTTTTGTACTTACGTTTTAGCAAATAATGTACTGTACAAATTTAAAAAAGTATCTACACATACACCATACCAAGTGACACGTTCAAGGACCATACACAATAAATGGTACAACTTAGAACCAAGTAGATTGAAGTAACTCCAAATGAACGTACTGACGTGTCCCTCTAAAGTGGAAAACGTCTTCACATAATGTAGCATTTTTTGCACGTTTTAAGACATGTAAAAAGGCGTTCAAATTATCTGCCTATACTTATAGCATAAATCAAACAAACGTTTTAAGTCAAGTATATTTGTTCACAGTGCTTAGTACTAACGTGTAGCTCTCTGTGTGTAGAAGTTTCCATGAGACGGTTGAAAGGGTGACGAATTTTGGGTACAACATATTAGATAAAAAGCGCATATTTATGCTAATTCAACGTCGTTGGGCTACCGAGTACCTGTGCAAGTCTCGTTTTTAACAGGAAGTTCTCATAGCCGTCGTATTTTATCTGTAGCATTTATAACATAGGAAAACAGTAGTTTGAAGAGTTTAAGTTGCCCACATTGAGTGATTTAACCAACAGTGTGTTGCATTACACTCACCACCAGAGCGGTCGCCATCTTCTGGATCACAGAGATCCGAAATCACGTTGAGCTTTTTGGCCTGTGTTAAAAAGGGTTAAACTAGCTGATTGGGCCACCTGGTACTCCACGTGACGCATGCGCAGAAAGACGGACTAATCACACTTGTATCTGTAGAAGGACCGAGTGGGGCACAAGTACTGTTACTCAAGTGAATTGAATTGTGAATTCCTGTAGTTAAGTACCATTTTAAGGGACTTGCATTTGACTTATTCGCTGTATTCCACTTTTTTGCTACTTTGTACTTCTACTCTACTACAAGTTAGAGGCACATCGTGTATTTGTACTTTAATGCACTTATTTACTACCTTTAGTTACTTGGATCCAGATTTGGAATAATGGTGTGAAATATAATCAACACTTAAATCAGACTTTAGTTACACCTGGAGTAACATTCACAAGCTACCCTACCCTGCAGTGTATACAGTGATTAAAACTAGCTGCACCTTTACCAGCTTCGATAACACTTTAATGCATCAATAATTATACTCAAACATATCATATATATTATTCTGAAATGGGCCAATTTGCATAATGAGTACTTTAAGTATATTTTACTACTTACTTTACATTTACTAGATCAAAAAAATCCAATCATATTAGTGGAAATGTGTGCAAAATAGATTTATGTAAAGTAATAGTAAAACTAGAAATGTACTTTTGTGGCTTACAAATGTTTATAGAAATAAGATAATAAGAAATTATCAGTACAAATCCAGGCTTACAGAACGATAAAACTGATTGAATATCAATATATCATAGGAACATGTGGCCAGGCAAGGGAATCTGTTTGAGTGAGATAAATGTGAGCTTTTTGCAGTATAAATGAATCAATAGCAGTAATGATGATGTCAATATGTTACATGGTTGACCCAGAGAGCCAAGGTGATACCTGCAACGCCAGGAGATCAGGTTTATTTATGAAGCCCTTGATTATAATCACCGTCTAAAGGTCATCTTAGCAGACATGAAACATCCTCTCCAACAACCCAAGTCACCTGTATAAATGGCACGAAATGAGACGATAAAGATGCAAATGTCCACTACATACCACACAACCGGTGGCAGAATATTTGGGCTAAATTCCTACTTCTAACTGTTAAACTTGAATTCTAACTTGTTATGTAGTATGTATGAGAGCAGCTAAGACCACAGCCAGCATAAAGAAATATTGGCAAATGAGAGCTTGATGATTACTGCACGTCACTGGGTCACATTGTACCAACATAAGATAAACCCAAGGGCCATTCTCAGTCTGTCTAACACCCTTCCTGAAGTATGTTAGAGGCTTAGCCCATACATATCGTACATGTCTCAAATGTGCAGGCTTGGTGAAAACATACACTGCTAAACCATGTTCTTCTGGGTGATAAAAGACATGTTTACACAAGAACAGCAAATACTAGTGTGATTACATCTATTACTTATCTTTTATTCAGAATGAAGCCTGTGATGCTATCAGCCTGTGTTATGCTATCTCAGACAGTGACTTTACCAAGAGTCAATACAAAATATACCCTACTTCCACATTCATTTAAAATATGTTAACTCAAGTATCTGTTCTTTTTAAAATGTTACATTATGTTAAACATGATCATATTACATTTTCTTTTTTTCTAATGCAATATTTAGTGTCTGGCAAGGTTTTTGGGGATACATTGTGTTACATAATGTGCATTGAGTATGAATGTGGTACGTTATACTGTAACGAGGATAAGATTAATGTCGTTCATGCTTTCAACTATTGAGTGACTAAAAGAAGCTGAAAGAGACCCATTGTTTAATGTTCCTTCTAAGAGATGCAGTCACATGGCTTTAAAAGTCAACAAATGAGCAAGAAAAGACAAAAGAAACCTATGATTATTTTTCAAAAAATGTTTAATAACCGTTTTGTTTCAAACATGATTATGCTGTTACTAAAAATGACATTTTAATACTGAAATGTTGTCATATAAACAAGTGCAAAAGACATCAAGTGCTGCAACTATGAAATGAGATTGTTTAAAGGCCAATGTGAAGGATGTCTGTATTTTTTAGGCACTTCAGAAGGTCAGCACTGTGCGGATACTGTAATGAGAAAACACAACATAATAAGGTTAGGATATTTAATGAAACAGAACAGCAGAAAAATGACTGCATGAATTAACTTTACTCACCTCTTCCCAGCATGCATGAGGTCAAATCCCTCATTGATCTTCTCAAAGGGCAGGGTATGGGTCACAAACTCATCCACCTTCAGCTTTTTATTCATGTAGTCATCCACCAGTTTAGGAACGCTCTCCACACTCTTCCATCCTGGGGGTAAATATTCAAATGAGTTTAATAACTCAACATTTCCTTTAGCCAAAAAATTACACTGCATACAAATAATGTTTAACCAAAAGGCCCTGGGAAAAGCAATTTTAACCAAAATAAAATATCTAACTTTTGAACTGCCAGACAAGGATCGCAAACTCTGATCGAACAGCTGAAAGAAGAGATAAAGATCTGGAGAGAGGAGATTAAACGTCACCCAAAGAGGACTGAATATACAGCTGAGAAGTTAAGCCTTAGATAGACAAGAACTGTCAACTGTCAACTCTTGATAATTGGTGAAAGCTAAGCTAAGTCGAAGTTGCTTCTGAGCAGGTAGGGACCATCCATGGAGACAGAAAGACTCCAGCAGTCTCTTCAAACCCTGTTCCTGTAGATACCGTCTCGGCAGGTATAATCTAAAAGCTTCAGAGACAGTCCAACCTCAAAGCATCCTTCAGGCCTTTTGAAGAGTACAAAGAAGTCACCGAGCTGGAGTGGGATCAGCTTCTAGAGCAGCATGGGATCCTAAAGGATTCATTTGACCAGCTGTAAGCTAAGGCCAAGTCTAAAGCTGATCAGGCAAGACAGCAGTTGAAGGAGAGGCGGCAGGAGATTGATGAACTGATGGCACAGCTCACAGAATTCAATAATTCCCCGTAGATTGGGCGAGAGCTCACTCTCACAGGGAAGAGACAAATAAAGAGAATACACCAAAGAACTTGTTTGAATATAGCAGAACACAAAGATGAGGAAACACGACCTGACAGTTTAAAAGCAAAAAGGGTGGAAGAATAATGCAGCAGTGTTAAGAATTCAACTCCAGATGCACCAAATGTTATTAACTATCGAAATCTGCTCTCCCCCAGGTGTGCATAAGGAAGCTCACTTAAATTTCGTAAACTGGAGGCATGTGGCTGATTGAATGCCAAATTAGCATAGGTTAAGTCCCCTAAAAACTATAAAAGGACAGCTGTCGCGCCATGTGCAGATACTCTGCTACACCCCACGTTTGGAGAGATGCCACTTACAGGCTGTAAGAAAAGTCACGTAAGCAGCTGGGACAATAACAGACAGAAATCTAAGAGCAGTATGTAAGCCATTCAAAAGCAGAGTATGCACAATTATAATCCAAGGGGTTTTATATTGTTAATAAGGATCAAAGCATTTACAGTATTTCTGCAGCAGACAAACTTGATAAACCAATCATTATAATTACCATAAAACATAACATTTACGAAATGTTGATCATGCATTATTTGAATGTTTCTCAAATCAAATCTTATGTTTCCTCGTGTTGGACAAGATGCATTTTCTTGGATAGTGTGCTCTTGACCACTGTTCAAATGTTCTCTTACATTAAATTAGACTTACAAATAACAACAATTATGGATAGTAATAAATATAAGAGGAAATGTGTTTGTTTATTGCTTCCTGCATTGGGCCCAGTACAATGTAAACCTTTGGACTTGCATTACGTTGGAACTGCGAACAGACTAATGCTCATTATAACAAGTCATTATTTAACACAGTAGGTCACCTCCAAAGGCAGTGCCCTTCCACACTCGGCCGGTCACCAGCTGGAAGGGTCTGGTTGAAATCTCCTGTCCAGCCCCGGCAACACCAATGATGATACTCTCGCCCCATCCTTTGTGGCATGCCTCCAGAGCAGCTCTCTGAAATAATAAAATGACATTATTTGGGATTTCTATGAATTGCCAACCATGAAAACTGTTTTATATTCTGCTTGTGCCATCCATTGAATACACACTATGTAAATCTGCACTGGCTCTACTATGTACGTCTATCAAACAACAAGGATGGTAAAACAGGTCATTGTATGTTAATGTTACTTATTGCTATTTGTTACTACACTTAAAACAAAGTGTCTCACCATGATTTGCACATTTCCAATGCACTCGAAAGAGTAGTCCACCCCCCCGTCGGTCATCTCCACCAACACCTCCTGGACGGGCTTGCTGCTGTCCTTGGGGTTCACAAACTCAGTGGCTCCAAACTCCTTGGCTTTCTCAAACTTTGAAGGGTTGATGTCCACACCAATGATCCTGGTTGCCCCAGCGACCTTACAGCCCATAATAACAGCCAGACCGACAGCTCCGAGGCCAAATACAGCACACGTGGAGCCAGGCTCAACCTGAGAGTGCATGAGGGAGAATAGCAATGTGAGAATTCACTGAATAACTTTGCATGTATCAAATGTAATGTATGAGTGAACTTTAAAGTTGTGTGCATACTTGTGGCCTTGTCACATTTAGTTATACAAATATTATAGTTCTCTTTGGGGTCAACACGAAAATATGGTTATAAAAAAAAAAAAGAGGGCAACAGACACTATAGGCAAAAAGGATTTTGTTCACATTAAATCAGCATGATTCATAAAGTGCCCTATTTCAGAGTGACACATACACACACTGACAACATTTTAAGCTCTTTTCATCGTAGCCTTTGGGCAAAACATTGTTTTTCAGTTATCAGAAGCACCTGTGATACCCACCTTGGCAGTGTTGAGAGCAGCACCATAACCTGTAGAAATGCCACATCCAAGAAGGCACACTCTATCCATGGGAGCCTTGTCGTTCACCTTGGCCAGAGAGATGTCGGCCACCACAGTGTACTCCGAGAAGGTGCTGGTCCCCATGAAGTGAAACACTTGCTTTCCCTTGCAAGTGAAGCGTGAGGTGCCATCAGGAAGCAGGCCCTGGCCCTGGGTGAC